CCTACGCGGTTTTAGCCTGATTGGGACTGCTTGGGGGTCAACTGAGAATGAGATGGGGGTACCATTATAACACCCCAGCTCTTCGCTGAATACATCTGAGTAATCAGCGAATAAGGAGTCAGTGTCTGAGGTTGAGATGGCATGGACTCCTGTTAGCCCTAGGCCGAGATGGGGAAACCAATCGAGCCCCAATAAGGTGGGTAGATTGCCGTTAACTACCACTAGAGGTAGGTGACCTTTAAAAGCTTTAAAACTGACAAGAAACTTGCCTCTGCCGATTACAGGAATGGTCTTCCCCTGGTAGTCCTTCAGGCCAAACTGGCATCTCTGGAGCCGGCTAGTGGATAGGCTTGGTTGGAGCCTCTTAAGGGTGTTCCACGAGATAATTGAGAGCGCTGACCCTGTGTCAACCTCCATGCGGCACGGTTTACCTTCTAGGGAAACGGAGAGAGAAATTTTACTAACAGTGTGGCAAGTGTGCTTGGCACGGTGGTGCGTGCGACAGTTTAATACTTGCCTCTGTGGTCCCGAGTGCGAGGGAGGGTGCCTTTGTGCTGCACTTTGGGGGGCTTGGCAGACTCTCGCGATGTGTCCCCTTTTATGGCAGTTATTGCAGGTAGCTCCTTTAAACTTGCAGGTGGCCCTCTGATGAGATCCCCCACAGGCTAGGCACAGGGTGATGTGCTTGGGTGGACCGATGTTTTCTTGTTTGGCTCCTACCTGCGGCCGTCTGTCGTTGGATAGGCGGTGGACTTCGTTTTCATCACTGATGGGTTCCTCTGCTACCACCTCCTCGGAGTGGACTGGAAGTGATGTCAGCTTGGCGCTTGGGCCCTGGATTTCGGTGGCTGAGTTTGTTGCCAGCTCAGCTGCCAAGGCTTCCTCGACTGCTTGTGCGAGGTTGAGGTCTTTTTTTGCGAGAAGTCGCCTTTGCAGGTGGAGGTCCTTGACCCCGCAGACTAATTGATCGAGGAGCATGTCCTCCAGGTAGGTTCCAAACCCACAATGCAGTGCTGCTGTTCTGAGAGCGGCCATATATTGATTGATGGTCTCCTTGCTCGATTGCTTCTTCATACGGAAGGTGAATCTCCTGGCAATCTGTGAGGGCCTGGGGGAATAGTGGTTAGTGAGAATTTCAAGTAACTCAGACCACGGAACGTTTTTCAACTCACGAGGAGCCACGAGCGCTGCGGCAGTATCGTAGACGGTGGCTCCGCAGTAGATTAGGAAATACGATTTCTTCCGATGCTCCCCCGCATCCGCCAGGCCAACTGCATCGATATAATGATTGAAGCGGTTCTTATACGATTCCCACTTCTCCTCGTCTGGTTTAAATGCCGGGAAGACTGGATTGGAACTCATGGTGCTGGGACCGGTTGAACAACCTGAGGAAAAATCTCTCTGGGGCAGCAGACAATGTTTTAGTGCCCGTGGTGGGCAAGTGATTTCAGCTCAGGAGAGGCTGTTTTAAATCCTCTCTTTCTCTCTGGGTTAACCACGTTAGGCTGTTAGCCGTTGATGGCGTTTGGATTCGCGCCTGTGTGGGCGTCAGTGACTGGCTACAGCGCTGTGCTGTACCTTTTAGGTTTGAAATTCAAATGACAACCGTTTGAATTTCGCGCCTGATACTGAGCGGCTGCGGCTCGCAGCGCTTCACTTTCCCTGTAGCTGGGCTAACAAGCGGCTACAGACGCTTCTAACTTTCGATTCTGACCGCTCTCTCTGGCTGCGGATCAGCGTTCGCTTCTTATCGCTTGCTGACCGCTTTCTCTGTCAGCGGATCAGCGTTTGCTCTTTTTGTTTGCTCTTTTTGTTGGCTGACCGCTCTCTCTGGCTGCGGATCAGCGTTTCCCTTATCGCCGGCCGATCGCTCTCTCTGGGCTGCGGATCGGCGGCTAGTGACTCAGCGGTTGCATGGTGCTTCTGGTAGCCATCCCATCCTCGTCGCCAGTGTTAAGTTTGAGCAATGAGAGGCTGAACCAGAGCATGAGTGCAACAATACTTTATTATAGCAATAAAGGGCTGACCGTGCTTGCCACGCCTGGAACTGGCTCGCAGCAATCAGCAACTGGTTGGACCCCGCAGCCTGCTTTTATAGCTGGCTGCTGGGGAGAACCAACCAATGAGGAAAGGGGAAAGAACGCCCACTCACAGTGAGTGGACCTGAGTGGGAACTCCTAGAGTTCTCAGGACATAACATTTAGAATAGATCCAGGTGACAGGGCAAGAAACAATGATTTAAATATAGTCAGCAGTGGAACTGTCTGCCTTTGGTGGTGATGCACTTTCCTTTGCTGGACATATTTAAAGAAAGAAGTGGAAACCATATGTCAGATTTGTTGCAGTAGCAGATACCTGCACTGGCCAGTGAGTTTGGCTAGATCTCCACGGTGACTTCCAATCATTATATTCTATGATTGATTCTATACTTAGTAATTTTTTAAAAAAAAAATGTTTATTTTTCCATTCTCAGAATTAAGAAACATGCCTGCAGTGAATTCCTCAATAATTCTATGTGAATATACATTAGTATCATATTCTTTTCAAATATTGAAAGTATGGTTTGTTTATTTATTTATTTGCTAGTTTAGTTTAGTATTTGCATTCTATTTGGGTTTGGTTGAGAAGAAAATAGTCTTTGTCACCTTTTTCAGAGCTGTTTCAAATCACTCAGAACATTTGTTCTAAAAAGGCTGGAAGAGTTTGAAATCTGTAATGTGTCTTTTTAACCTCCAGCTTACAAGTTAACATTCTGCAGGAGGCAAGATTTAAAGATCATGGAAAGTTTCTTAAGTTTTAAAGAAAAGTTACTCTCATTGAAAAGGCTCATTAAAAAGTAAAACCAGATGAGTCTAAAATATGATCTTTCTCTCTTTCTCTACCCCTCTCTCTTTTTCTCTCTCTCCTTCTCTTGTCCAGAAGTAGCTAAATAAGAAGGGATAAAAGGAGAAAGAGAGTTGCTTAGGTAGGTTTTCAACTGGAGATCTAAGAGAAAAGAATTCTTAGATATTAGGCCATAAATTAGTGCCATCCTATTACTATAACCCCAGTTACAGCATTGAGGCTGGTACTGAGTTCAAGAGATGCTTCCCCATTAACATTTTCCAAGCAGAATTTCTTCCAGCTTCTATAATATTTATTTTAATTAAACTAGCTTTCCACCAGAAGGGACATCTCTAAGAATCATCTTTCCTCCCTTCTATGTCAATCAATAAGAGAAACAAATCTCTCTCCTCTGTAAACTTTTTTTTTACATATATTAGAAACACAGGTAAAATAAACACTTAAAAAACATCTTTCTCATTTAGCTGAATCACAGAAGTTTGCTTTAATGCATTCATAAGTTTATTTCTTCCTTGAAATCTCTGTTCTATCTGCTACAAATTTCATTTATGCCCACAAACAATAACATCATTTTATCAACATCTCAGCCCATCAAATAAATTCTGTCCAGATGAAAGAAATAATACCCACTTCCAATGCCCAACTCCATAAAGCTAACAGCTTACCCAAATAAATTATATTTTGTTCCCAATAGAAGGATAACTGAATTCCCCTGACTTCCATTTGCAGAGACTTCCAGAACCTCAGACTACATCCCAGAATAATTCTCACTCTTACTGACCTTCTTGCACAGCCCCCCCCCACCCACCCACACACAAAACAAAGAAAAAAAATTGGGGGGATCTATAATTGAATGGGCCCATAGAAGACTAAAGTATTTCAAATAGTCTAGCCTCAAATGCACACATCAGGATAAATCCAAGTTGTTGAACAGTCCATCCTGCCGGACAAATTTCCATTCTGCCAGACTTGAAATAAACAACTGAGCGTGTGTGTGTGTCCATTGTCACTGCCTGGGGACTCTCTTCTAAATCATTTTGAGCCCACTCTTCCAATATTTCATTATTTGAAACTCCTTGAAAACCACAAAGTCTATCTGACTTTTCTCAGCAGAAAAGTAATCATCATAATTGACTTGAAACATTCAAGGACTGCTAAAGCTGACAACCCCACCTACTAAAGTGACAGGAAAATATTCCAGAGGCATCAAGAATTCATTTAGATCCATCAATCTCATAGGATAGATTTTCTGAATTGCACTGCCTATTCTACCTCCAGATCACCCAAAAGGCTGCCAAGCAGTGATTCATTCATGAATGCAATGATACAAACATGCTTCATATCCAGACCATCAGAATTTTAATCAAGAAGAAAAGCTGGTTCCACATGAACCAGGCTGAGATGGAGCCATGATATTCAAAACCAATCCCAATAAGGCAGATTCAAGAAAGGAAATTGGAATACACCAATATTGTGCTAAGTTTCTTACAAACAAAATATGGTAGCTCATATGACCAATTGATTGTGCTATGTCAGTATAATCTCTATCTGTTTTTTTTTTAAAAAAAAACTTTCTCAGAGGAACTCTTAAAGTCTCTTTGTTTTATCATCACCTTGATGGAACCAAATCAGTTTTCTGCCGAAATAATGAGTACTCAACCTAAAACAGTTTTTGTCCAAAAATAAAAACTATATGCTATATATTGTAGAACATCTAAGATGTTTACATTTATGTACCATTTTCTCCTCTGGTTGAAAATAATATTGTGTCTTCTTACATAACTTTTTTTTTCCTTTTTCCCCTACAGATTATTACTAAGGATTTCTCTACAGATGTGTCCATATCCATCTGCCCAACCACATCCTAAGGGACCTGCAGAGAGAAAATGAGAGGAAAAACACTTTTGTAAACGTCTGTGCAAGTTGTTCCACATCTACTTTTCTTTGTCCACAATGAAACTAAAAACCTATTAATTTAAATTTTGCAGTAAGTATTCAAATCTGTGTTTGGTAAGCATGTCCCTTGCCCAACTCCTGACCACATGCCTGCTGGAGTGCTAAATGCTAAAGCATCAATCATCAGTATTTGGAGTTGATTTCCTCCTTTCCTTTAGGTTCCCTATGCATTTGGCTTCATGCGGTAAGCTCTGCAGTTTTGACAGGGATGTTTGTGGTAGACCTTCATAGCTTAGAGGTGACAACATGACCAAACATTACATTCGTTCACAAGGATTTTTAAGGAAACTGTGAAATAACCTTTTTTCATTATTTTATTTTTTCTTGGAAGAAGGGTTTTTTTTTTCTGGAGAAAGCTAAATTTATCTTGAGAAACTGCTTCCCCCTTTCCTCATTTTTTGTCAAGTGGTTAACCGTTCAGACCGTTGAAGATTTTCAAATGATTGAATTGCTTGGGTAAGTAAACATGGCTGCCTTCAATAAATTAGATTACATTAGACAGTTTTGGGGGTGAGAGCAGAGAATAAGGCTCTCAGGCTGAAGGAACACCTTCCCCGCTCTCAGACCACCAGCAGCCAAGATAACTAGAATCGTTTAACTGGTGCCTTTCAGATGTTTAAAAATTGCAGCTTCCAGAATATGCTACATTTTCAAGCAAATAATTCTTAGGAATTCCTGGGTGCCAATTGGAGACGAAGATCCAAACCATTCTGGAAAGCACCCTTCCTGCATTTGGGTCAGGGCAGGGGGAGCCAGCAAATGATATCATATCAGAGGATTTGAAAACTCATGTCTAGGTCTTTGAGACCCAAGGCATTGTTGACCATACATTTCATATATTATTTCAATATCTGTTTCATAAAGAATGTGGTAGAAAAGCTTAGTTGATCCAAATCTCAACGGTCTGAATCTTCTCACTTCTTAATTTTGGTTTATACTACCTGGTTTCACAACTCTAACTTCAGTGCAAGCAGCATTAATAGCTGTTATTCTAAGTAATTGAATCTTATTCCAGGCCATTCAATACATGAGATTGTACCACATATGCTTGTAATATGGGATCAGTTGTGACACCAGTGAGATGAACAGTTGTTCTTTTGATTTTGTTAACTAGAGCACCCTAAAGAGTCCGTGCATCCACAACTCATCAAAGCAACTGGTGGTTTCTACATAAACATCCACAATGAGCAAAGAAATACTTTCTAGTGAAGCAGTTAGATGAAGCTGCCCATTCCAGGCTTCACTCTTTTAAACTGAGGCAAAATAATATTGCTCAGATTAAGTTGTTTCTTCAGTTTGACTTGAAGTAGCTCTGTGAGTTTAATGATGTTACTTTGCACAGGCCTTTTAGGGATACATGAGAAAAATGAACTATCTGCCTACATCCAAAGCTTCTCTATTATTGTTGTTGTTGTTGCTGTATTATCTCTCCTTTATCAAGCCTATCTTCCTGCAAAGCTGTCTATAAAATTAGTCAAATGATCGAAATCTATTTTTTTCAAAGCAGTTTTATTCCAGATGCCATAGAGAGCCTAATATAGTTTACGTAAGGCAGGAAGTATACATTAAACTAGCAAGACCTATATTTCTACACTTTAATAAACTAACTGAATTTAACATCTTCAGAACTAAAGCTCTAAGACAGAATAATTTATGGATAATGATAACAACAGTACTATTCAGTGTCAATAGCAGATAAAATAAACTACACAGCTACACAGAGGAAGCTTAGATACAAAAAGAAAAACCAGGCAATACAAGCTGAAATCTAAAATGCAAAAAAGGATTTGAAGGCCCAAGCAGCAGACTTCTTTCTTTTACAGAATAGCACATAGCTTTGGACTAATGATACCTCAAATCTTTCCAGAACTATAGCAGGGAAAGCAGATGAGGGGAAGGTTGAAAAAGAACAGGGGCTGTTCTGTATAAAGATATTGAATCTTGTCCAAACAACTTTGTATAATTTACTGAATTAAATTCTTATGGTTTTTCTATTTTGCTTGCTAGTGCCTTCGTTCCATTTTTAAACCAGTCATTTCTTATTGTGTATTAGCCATAATGCTTCCGCCATGTTTTTTGCATTTTGGAAAAGGGACATTTTTTTTCTTTTTAGAATCTGGTTCAGATTTTCAGACAAACATATTTTCTTTCAAAAAGTAGTTTTTAACTTTTCAACATTCATAACCAAGTAAACATAATACAGAAGAGCTGTATTCAGATGTTCAACTTCTGTGTTTCATCATCTCACAAGGAGGGAAGTACAAGAGCAATGCAGATGCACAACACACTCACAAATGCACACCAATGCCATACTACTTACCCTCTATGCTAGAGGAAAGGAACCAGAGTACTTGTTCTCATCTTCCTATGATGTATATTGAAGAAACTCAGATTTAGAAAAACCGAATGGCAGTAGAGATCCATAGTCATATTTCTACCAATTCATGAATGGATTAACCTCTGATTTATTATTTGATACCCACAGAGTCTCTTTAGTTCATGGCAACTTACCATATTTCTCGCTCTATAAGACACACTTTCCCCCCCCCAAAAAAAAAAGTAAGTGGAAATGTCTGTGTGTCTTATGGAGCAAATAGCGCAACTGGGCTGTGGCGGCGGGGTCCTTTACAGTGTTGAACCCCACCAGAGTGCAGGAATCAATATGCAGAGCTGACACATGAGGGGATACCTATCTGTAGACCTCTCAAGCTCCACCTCTTGCCCTCACTACACTGCTACTCCATATTCTCTGCTTCGTATGCACAGTGAATGGTGCTCCAGATTCATATTTTTTTCTTTGTTTCCTCCTTGAAACTTACATGCGTCTTATGGTCCAGTGCATCTTATGGAGTGAAAAATACAGTATAATGACTGAAATTATTCATTCTTTTCTGTCAATCAGCTCATGTTGCAAACCATACTGATCTTAGGGAAGTCTTCAGGATCTGGCTGCTTTTATCAGAAAGATTCAACCACTATCACAGTGCTACAATGCTGCATGGCAATCTCTGCTGTATGGAGCATGTGTGTGGTGTTGCAACAGACATAGAAAAGGATGTGGTTTGTATCATGATGAAGTAACATTGCTTACATCATTCTGACTTATCTGTGATCTCCTTCCCCCCACATAGTGGGAGTGACACATATTGAATTGGCATTGCAAAGTCCATTTATTTATTTGTCTGTGTTAGGAATTGATAGGCACCTAACAGTTGGGTTGGAAGTATATAAACCAGGATAGACATTTAATACTGTCTCTTTAAGGGAATGCTAAAATTGTAATTGGGTATGGTTCCTCAAACGGCCATAAGATGGAGCCAAAAACCTGGGTTGTTTAGTCCTATTGTTGATAGTTGCTAGTTGGTTGATGTTCTGATGTTCGCTGTTTTTTGGTTCCTGAATTTTTCCCTATTTACTGTTGCTGATTGTCGTTATTCTTGGATTGATGTGAGTCTATTACTGAACTGTTTATGATACTGGACTTTGATATTTGGATTATCCCTGGACTGAGAAACTGACTGCTTTAACCGTGTATGACTTGGACTGTTTGTTGGACTTTGCTTAACCATTTACTGGAAGTAAAAACCTAAATTTCACTATACAGTGTATCTGTGTGATGGTCATGTGTTATTCCTCACCATTCTCACTAAGTCTCCCCGTGTGCACTCATTCTCCTAACAGGGAATTACCTCAACAGTCTGTATTTACCATTCTTTAATTCCTCTGGTTGATTATACGGAACAATCATTATCTTTTCTGATTATCCAGAAGACTCCCCTCCCTTGTTTCATATGAGCATATGTAGGACATGGTATAGACTATACACACATACACACAAACACACACAGACACACTAAACTGCATGCATGTTTATTTCCTTAGTCTTTCATAGAAGCATTTTTTTAAAAATAAAGGATATTTTCTTCCCTTCCTAATTTTCTCTCAATTACAGCCTTCAAACAATTCCGTTTGAAACTAGCTAAGTAATCTAACAGATTGTAAACAGCACCCAGAGAGAGGAAGAAAATTTCATCAAAGAGCTGGATTGTAAACTGAAGCTTTGGATATCCAACAAGGTTTTTATAATTGGTCTCTGGAACATTTATAGGGACGAGGGGATTCTAGATACTTATAGAATGATTTCACACCAAGACTGCTTTCTAAGATGGGAAAAGCATTGCAAATGCATTAACACTAAAACAAACTGCAAATGTGGTGGGTTTCAAAGGAAAAGTTGGATTTTTTATGGCCCAAAGGAAGCACATAGAGATACTGGGATACTCCCTGGAATATTGACATTACCTCTTTCAGGGTAGGTAAACCTTTCTGATTGGGGCACATCTGAACTTTTGTGAACATACATTGGCCACTCAGAAAAATTGTCACAATTATTACTTGTCTGAAAACAGATAGTAAACTTAAAAAGTAATCTTATTTCCCTGAATGCTTTTAGAGAGAAAGAGCAAAATATAAATGAAGCTGTAACTGCTGTCAAGATCAGAAACCACTTATTTATAATCTTTTCCCCACTTTCTTTTCCTTTTCCATTTTTCTATTTTTTCCAATGTTTACTATTTTTATTATCTTACAATTTTTACTTTGTTAAAAATTTATCCTCATTAACATTGTTTTAAAAGAAAAGAACTCTTCACCTTTCTTTCTTATTCTGAAATTTGACTATATACTGTATTTTATTTTATTTCACTTTATTTATAAAGTCACAAGACTTGTCAATCACTAAACAACAACAGCTACTACTACTAATATACTACTACTATGTACTACTACTATTACTGTGCCCAGCCTTCAAGTGGCCAAATATCAACACCACTCTAAATAATATAAACACTTCCTTGTTTTGTTACATAGCAGAAAACCATACAGCCTCTTTTTCTCAGGGTATCTAGTTTCCAAAGAACATCCTGGCAAACTGCTTCCTGTATTTCATTGTTCACGGTAGCTGTTGAAACTCAAGGATACCTGTAGATCACTCTGGAAGGGATGTTTTCCTTCTTATGCCACCTCCAGATGCTATCCATGGAGAATGCAGGGCAAGTTAATTAACATAGAGGAGGATGCTAAGAATGACATGTTCCATGTACTCCTGACTCCAATTGATTCTTGGATGATCACCACCTCCCAATTGTTCTTGGAGGTGTTCCTTCATATTTGAATACTCTTTTGGCCATTGAGGAAACCAAAACTCACCATTCTGCTGGTCTGGAATGGAAGGGGAACGTGACACAGCAGCTGTGGACACAACCACAGATAAAGATATCTGACGCTTCTCAATGGCTATCCAATTTCTGATATATTTTAATATATGACATATGATGCTTTATTCCTCTCTTAAAATAGTTTTCTTAGTTATAAAGGGATAAACTAATGTACAAGCTATATAGCCTTAACCAGCAGGGATGGCAGTAAGATTACTGAGCACTCTGCTCATCCCTTAAAAGCTGTTCCTCAAAGATTTCCCAAGAGGAACTGATGGGATTCTTGGGAATCCAAAATAATATGATCCAGACCTTCTTCAGTAGCATTTTAAACATTCCAGGCACTGGACTGGAGCTTGTGTTCAGGCTGATGCAATACATTATTTTAATACTATAGCCTGACTCCATTCCATAAAGTATAATTTAATATTAGAAGCCCTCTAACAATATCTTCAGAGCCTTTTTTCTGTACAGTATAGCCCTGCACTCTTTATATTGTTGGTTTGAATTCTCCTCTTGGCCGGATACCCTTAAGATAAAGTTGAGCAACCGTTTCTGTGCTGAAGGTTGTCAGGATCAGTTGTCCAAGGTGGTAAAAGTGAAGCAAGTTACACTTCTTTCTGATGCCTTTTTATCCCTTTTGTTGACAGTTGTTTGTTTCAAACACACTCTTTCCTCACTTTCCAGAAGTTACCAAAGATGAAACAGATGTCTCTTAGCAGAGCCCTGAATTAAATACTTGGGAAAGGGAGTTGACTGCCACATGAAATTATGTCTAGGACATAAGGCTACATGTGGCCTTATAGCTTAATACATAAGGATAACTTTGTGATCAGTTGGGATTCAGAGGGTAATGCTTATGTTTCCAGCCATATATAATTCATATGTGGAATGTATGCATATGCTCACTCTCCCAATAGATTCCTTTATGAAAATATTGGCTTTTCTATTGAAACCAAGTTCTCTTTCTGAGAATTTTTCAGGAATGTTCCCCGGTGGTTGTATTTACTATTAAGATGAAATGTGTCTACATTTTAGTTATATCCTGCAGTCACTTCAGTTCCTGTGGGTTTGCTTTTGAATTATGGTCTGCCTTTGAAGTTAAGCTCTGGTTTGCCACCACTTCTAAAATAAGGTTGCCATGTGTGAAGCCCATATGGTTATGTGCAGGACTCCAGTATAGAGAAGAAGCTGAAAATAATATAAGCAGAATTGTGCTGGGCTGCAAGAGAGTTTTCATTGCTAGATGTGTGAGACTTAAGTACAAAGTTTCTGTATTTTTTCACTTATCGAAAGAGAAATGCGTCATCCTACAAAGGATGGTTACATTTATTAAATTTAAACACCCTGCCACCTGAAATTATGCCATTAACTGAGGCTGTCCAGTTGCTACATCTCTTATTTCCACCAACCTCTCAGTAATGTTATCACATCTTTATCTTACAATAAGATGTGAAGAAATTTTGTACGATTACTAAATTACTTTCCTTTCATACCTTGGAGTTAAATTATGTGCTGGTCTGCATTTTTTTTGTGTGTTCCACATACCATCTAGCCTGCTGTATTACATTTCTTTTATAAGTTAAAGTTTCACACGGTGAAATGAAAGCAGATGCTATTAAAGATTTCTCCACTCTTCAAATATCTTATCAATTTCCAAGTTTATAATAATAAAGAATATATTGGCCAAAGTGGGCCTGTATGGCCAAAGTGGCTGTGAATGGCTATTCTCTTCTATCATCAGATTTCATTTTCCTAAAAGATCTACAATATATGTTTTCATGGTACATAATCTATGAAGCCAAGTTTGCTATCTCAAATAATGTTAACACTGTAGAAAGTAAAGTAATTCATGTTTTACAATCTCTGAATATACAATCTTGCTGAATATGTAATCAGGCTGAATATATCATCATGCCTAACACTGGTTTGATATTGAGAACAATATGGCAGAACAGAACCTCTGAGATGAAAGGTTAAAATGTGAGTCTGAGCCATGGGGGTCAGAATGCAGTATCGTAGGCTAACTCTACCTACAGCCAAGAGTTTGACACTAACCAGCTCAAGGTTGACTCAGCCTTCCATCCTTCTGAGGTTGGTAAAATGAGAACTCAGATTGTTGGGGGAAATATGCTGACATTTGTAAACTGCTTAGACGGTGCTATAAAACACTATGGAGTGGCGTAAAAGTCTAAGTGCTTTTGTTATTGCTGTTCCTTCTCTTCTGGAATCTACTGTATATATCCTAGTGCCAACATATATTTCAACAAGAGCTTCTGTGGTGCAGTGCTTAGAGTACTGTACTGCAAGTCACTTCTGCTGACCATTGGCTGTTCAAATCCCACCAGGATCAAGGTTGACCCAGCCTTCCATCCGTGGCTAAAATGAGGACCCAATTTTTTTTTGGGGGGGGGCAATATGTTGACTCTGTAAAACTATTTAGAGAGGGCTGTAAAGCACTATAAAGTGGTATATAAGTCTAAATGCTATTGCTAAGTGCTATATAGTTTCACTGTTCTCTGTGAAATTACCTTCCTTCCAAAGAACTCTTTTCCTGTTATCCCCTCCCCTAATCCAAATATGTGAGAGATTGGGAACCCACACCATGTGTTACTTTCTGGTAATTTAAAAGAAAAAAAAAGTCGGCTAAACCGTACTTTTGAATCAACCCTTAATACATTTTCTGATAAAATACATGGAAAAAAACTTACTTAGGTAGGGAACCCACTAACCCCTAAGGGTTAGGTCCTCATGAATTCAGAGTGGAAAATAGACATCACCAAGTAATGCGTCTGAATGCTTAGAAGAGCATTGACTTTTGGAGTTCATCATTATTACGCTTCCTGGTAAAATACATGGGAAAATCCTATAGGGGGATGTCAAACCCACTTAGGTTAGTATTAGGTCTGTATGAAATTGGAGAGCAAAGTAGAGGTTGCCAATGAATTTATTTATTTATTTATCAATTGCTTACAAGATAATAGGTATAATTAAAAACATAGTTATGAATACATGGACACATATAAGAAAAAATAAATAAAAGAAAAGAAACAATAGGACAGGGACGGTAGGCATGTTGGTGCGCTTATGCACGCCTCCAACAGACCTCTTAGGAAAGGGGTGAGATCAATAGTAAACAGTCTAAGGTTAAAGTTTTTGGGGTTTGGGGAAGAAACCACAGAGTCAGGTAGCGTATTCCAGACATTGACCACTCTGTTGCTGAAGTCGTATTTTCTGCAATCAAGTTTGGTGCAATTAACCTTGAGTTTGTATCTATTGTTTGCTCTTGTGTTGTTATGGTTGAAGCTGAAGTATTCATTGACAGGTAGGACATTGCTATGTATGATTTTATATACTATACTTAGATCAGACCGAAGGCGGTGTAGTTCTAGGTTTTCTAGGTCTAGAATTTCAAATCTGGTGGCATAAGGTATTCTGCAATGAGTAGAGGAGTGGAGAACTCTTCTTGTGAAATATTTCTGGACTTTCTCAATTGTGTTAATATCAGATACGTAATGTGGGTTCCAGACTGATGAGCATAGTGATAGCGCATAGGTATGCTTAGGAGGAATGTGCCTTGAGGAGCCAGCCCTAACTAGGTTACCTGTTAAAATGCATGATAAAGTCCTATTGGGGGCAAACACACTTAGAGTTGGAGTTAGACCTCCATGAATTCAGAGGGAAAAATAGAAATTGCCAAGGGATTCATAATGCATTGGTATGCTTAGCAGGGTGCTCACTTTTGCAGCCTGTCCTATCTATTATACTTTTCAAATAAATGGGATAATCCTTTTGGGAAGCCAAACCATTTAGAGTTTGGAGCTTGCCCTATCTGTTTCTTTTGGAGCTTGCCCTATCTGTTTCCTGATAAAATACATGGGAATGTACCATTTGGATACTTGTTTCTGATTGGTCTACCTGGTTTGGTTGGTTGCATTGTTTCCTCTTAGATTGTTCCTGACTATTGTTTTGGTTCTGCTTTATCTACCCTGTTTCTCCAACAATACGGCCTCCCCCAATAGGAAGTCCCAGCATGTTTTATAGGCATGAAATGAAATTAAGCCCCTCCCCCCCAAATTAAGGCCTATATTAAAACATGTGAAATGGGGGGGAATGGTGAGGGGGCTTGCCGTTACAAAGTACTTTTGTTGCACACCCGGATATGGTGCTGCCTGCGTTGACCGCGATACAAAGTGCCCCACCAATGCCGAGGTCAACATCCAAGCTATCGCCACCCGCCCACCCGAAGATGCAAGGGGGGGGGAATTAAGTCACCCCCCGAAAAGACGACCTAGCCATTTTTTCGGGGCTCAAAAAAAAATAAATAAGACCCAGCCTTATTATATGAGAAACACGGTACATGTTGATTGCTGGTTGTGTGATAAGGGTGATGTGATCTATGCAACTATTCATGAATGCTGCCCTAACATTTGTAAACAAACCATTGGTCTTGACAAGAAACATGTCTACTCTGACCCTTGTTTAAAGGAACATAAAAAGTAGAAGCAGTCCACTATGATAATCTCCACCCCAAGTGCCATCAAAATGAGTAGAAATTACAAGAAATGACCTTGCTATATCAGCCACTCATCTAGCTTACATAAAATATGCAAGGTTCCATTCCATTCCTAGCAATGCAAATGGAACCAAACATTCAGTTTCAACAAAATGTGGATTCCACTTAGGATCATTCTCATTTTTATGACTTCAGATTAGACTTTGTAAAAGTAAAGAGAACACTTTCAATTAAGCCTTTGTATAGTTTATTGTCTACTATTAACTGTATAAAAAATGAATAAATGAGGGACATTAAATCGTGATATTATGTCCAAGCAAACAATAAATAGTTATTTACAGTCTTCAGCAAAATAAAATGTAAGTCTTATTGATCCCCTCATGCACATAGACACACACACACAGAGACACACACACACACAATCTCCCTTTCTCAGATATACAAGCACACCACACACAAAGGAAAAGACAGACCATCATAAATAATTTACATAGCATAGGCAGTTATGATACAATCAAAATATTAACATCTTAGTCCCAGCACTGATGCCTTTTTTATTTAAAAGATACAAAAACATGATTACATTAATGAAGTTTCCCTCAATAATTCTTCTCTGGGACTTAACAGCAATACTTTCAATGCATTAAAAATATGATTTGCAAAAGACACCCTCCACAAATCTCATTAAAAAAACATTAAAATGTCTATTAGTATGACAAAACAAAGAATGTGCAATAAAACCAGAAACCCCAGATTATTGATAAGGCATATAACTTCCAAATCCACAGAAAACTGTATGCAAAGCTGAGGAATTGGATGTGGATTACTCTATCACATCCTTCAAGCAATTCAAGAGATGATCCTTGAACAGCCATTGGGATGGGGCAGCAATGGAGAGAGACACATATACCCTTCCATTCCCCAGTGGCTGCTTTAAACATATTGATAGGAAAATGACAGGTTTGCATCTACAATGTTGTTGTGACCGTTCATAGCTGCAGGCAAACTTGTGGATGATCTGGATCTTACTGTTCTTTGTTCGAATCGCTTCTCTTTATATGCCTTTTGTCTGGATATCAAATTATGAGTAATTCCCAAGCCTGATCTAGCAGGGTTGATTAGGGTTGATTAAGCCTGATCTCATAGCAGAGGTCTCCAAACTTGGCAACTTTAAGACTTGTGGACTTCAACTCCCAGAATTCTGGGAGTTGAAGTCCACAAATCTTAAAGTTGCCAAGTTTGAGGACCTCTGTCTTATAGGGTTTGGAGTGTGGAAATGAACAAGAATGTTAAACATTTGAATTCTCAGCAGAAGTTTGTTCCTAGAAGTGGCATCTGCCAGCTATACTTGCAAATCCTCTAAACTCCACACATTCACATGTCTACCAACACTTTTTTGGTATAACATGATGGCATTTTGGATTGAGACAAAGCCTTATGTTTTTCTATATGTAAACCTCATCTATGAATCAAACCATACCAATTGAGTATATCTTCCAGAGAAAGCTTGTTCAGTTTAAAACAAAAAAATGATAAATATGAGAATACTAAGCCTATAGCTGAATAACTTGTATCTGGTTAGACTAAAGGGGTCGATGGACCTTTAGTACAGTTTTCTTGAAACGATATATATACAGCACACATACAATAAAAATTACAAGCATTGAGGGCAATCGTAAATATCAAGGTTTCATTTTCAAGGTCTCAATGGTTATTTGTTTGACAGTTCAGAGCAACTAAAAATTGCATATATGAGCAAGTACTTCCATATTTTCCCATTATATCATTAAAGGCATTCATTAGCCATCTTCTTTGAAATCTTTCATTATTAATGGACTTTCCAGTGAATTTTGAAATAAGTTATTGGAGAATGTAGCTGTAAATAACATCAGTATCCTCATAAGTGGAACTATGTTACTAGATCTTGATAATGGCTGCATTCCTAGTTTATCAGCATTTGGAAATCAAAGTGCAAGCATGTAGAAGAGGTGGGAAAGTAGTTTGTGAGATGCAGCCACAAACTATTTTCACAGGAGCTTCATGCACACAAGCAGTTGGCCTTCAAAAATTGCTTTCCTTCATGTAAATATAGGTATGATGGCAATGCCTGTGTGATGTCACTGCATGCAATTCTTGCAAAGGCATACTTATCATTTAAACCTCAGTTGGAATAATAAAGTGATTTTGTTCTCCTTTTAAAATATTGGGCTATCTCAACTGCAACTCATGAGAACTGTGTTAAAAATTCTGAAATAACCAAAATTCTTATGAATTTGCTTTGGTATAACAGAAACCAAGACTGTAATTTCTTCCATGGAACCCAGTTGAAATGTTAAATATTGATTATAAAAGAGAATTTGCTTTAAAGTAAAACTCCAAGCAGATTGCTGGTCTAAAAAGATGATAGGAAATTATTAACATTTGAATAACACTGTATCATCTTCTTTACTCTACTTAAATTCCCACAGCTTCTCTCTGAGCAAATTTTGTAAAGGTTGTCCTTCTGTTATAGTATATCTTTTAGCCTTTGGGAAAGCAAAGCCCACCTCTCATCTGAACAAGCTACAAAGGTTTAAGAGGTGATCTTATCTCTAACCATTTCCTTCTGCTTGCTATATTGTCTGCTCCCCCAAACCTTATTTCTGCCATATTTATATCTATATAATACACAATATAATTACACTTTTACATTTTATATGTAAACGTCATTTTAAAAAAACTAAAGCAAATTAACAAATATTTATGACATGTTTTCAATCCACATGTCAATATTTTTCTGCATCAGCAATGAGTTCAATGGTCACGTTTAATCCAAACTCCTCAGAGGCACTTAGGTGTAGGGCTGGAGGATCCCTCCTGGAAACAGGGTTGTATAAGGTCAAGGAAATGTAGAAAAAAGGTAAGGGAATTGAAGTACTAAGATGTATAGAGGTGTCTAGGTTGAACGGCATCTACAGTACATTGGTTTTTACACAGCTGCAATAATTCAGGCATCTGCATCAGAAAAAAGCAATTGTTTAGTACAATGGCCACATCTGGACTATAGCATAGGTCAACTATGGGTTAAAGCTCAATTAACAGATATGAACCTCATTTATTTCAATGGACCTAAAGTTCTACATAGATAGTTGAGGTCTTATTAATTTCATTAAGACTACCCTAAAGAGGACAAAATTTGAGTCACAAATTTTAAACACTATAGTTCAGAAATATGAAACATTTGCAAACTTTCTTTGTCTAAAACATCTTCCAAAGGAGCCTTGGAGAATAAATAATCAGAATACAATAAAATATGAAGATTAAAAACAGATTATCTCAAGTATATCAATAGATTAATATTTATCACATCTGCATCCTGATTTTCTGTCCAGGGCACCTTACATAAATTTCTTCCTTTCAACAAACTTGTAATATAGATTAAGTTAATCTTGCCCAAGGCTGGTTAACTTTAACAGCTTTGGGATAATTTAAACAAGGTTTCCCAAATTTATCACTCTGTATCAGTCTATCTGACCTAATATCTTCCAGAATTGTTTCAATTTTCATAATTTTTAGGCAGCATGGTCTTCTAAACAATAACTCCTGCTGTTTATACTTTTTGAAACCAAGTGCTGCAAGTGATTTAGAAACACATTTAACTTTAATCAACATCTGCACAATAATGAATCACGCATTCTAATGTCCTCTGAAAAACAGCCAAAAGCTATTTGCACTTGGGATAATTTTCCCATTCTGTACCTATTCTGATGCATATATCTGACCTAATCGCATTTAGTATGTGGGAATGCTTCTTCTAATACATAACTACATCTGCCAGTTATTGCATGAAATCTGAGTCTAAATTTATGTATTTCAACCATTAGAGTATGTCTTTTCCAGGCCTCACAATGTACACAGTGTATAATTTCTTTTCTTCCCTGTCTAAATTGTCCCTTCCAGAGTGAAGTATCATTCAATTATATATTTTCACTCTCCAAGATGGATTTGAGGTTCTGACTCTGCACCTGGATACTGTAAGAGTTTGGATGGGGAAAGTTAACAAGCTTAAATTCCATCCAAGCAAGGCAGAGTGACTGATTGGAAGCTGATAGATTCCAACAGAATTTCATCTTTTGATCTGGATAGGGTTGTGTTACTGAATAAATCCACAATTGGGAGGTTCTTTTGGACATATGGTCCTCCTGCTAGAAGGAAGAATAAACAGGACACCCTTTGCACATCTTCATCTTGTATGTTAGTTACAACCAAATCCTGGATCCATAGGTGTGACATCCTTGACACATCTTATTTGGATTACTCCAGTTTGTTTTATCTTGGGCTGAATCTTTGAAGTCCATTTCAACTGCAGGTAATCCAGAATGCAACAGCCCAAATAATAACCAGCTCAATGCCATTAGCCCATGATATACCTCTCCTATAGGAGAATGACTAGTTGCCTGTTGGTTTCCAGCTGTAACTGAAAGTGGTTGCCCCCACGGTCTCTTAGTGAATTCTGTCTATGCAATGAGATCTAGAAAAAGAGCTTGTTGTGGATCCCAACTCCTATGGAGTGCCAAGTTCAGGGATCAGGGAAACAAATCTTTTGTGGTGGCCTCTGAAATAGACTGCTCTTAGATATAAGGCTGGTCTTCTATATCTACTAGTTTTCCAGAAAGCTATTAACCTGTCTCTCCTGGGGGCACTTTGAAAATGGAGTTGATGATGGAAAGTTTTGAGGAACTGATCCCATGAAGTGGGGTGTGTGCCAATTATAGCCATTTAAAAATAATTATTATTTAGTATGATGTCAAACCAATTATTGTGCTGGAGAATTGTAAGCCACTAAAAAAAATTGATTGGAATAGTATATAAACCAGTTAATTAATGCCTACATGAATATACCGCTCCTATGTATTTTATTCACAATTATATTCCACTGGTTTTAGCCCATGTAGCCTATTAACTTCTTAGAAGGTTTTGAATAGCAAAAAGCATCCTCTCCTGCATTATTAGCAGTCAGTAAGAATTAGAAGCCAAATCAGAATGTATGTTCAGTTGGAAAGTTGACTCAGACATGCATAATCATTGTTGACCACAAATTAGGCAAACATGTCACTGCAAAAGAGTCATGACAAATCTAGCACTAAGGAATTCACATCAACTGCTGTAGTGAACATGGTGGGAGCTCTCAAAATGTATATTTGGAAACCGAATAATGAGCATATACATCAGAAGCAGACAATTTGGCATTCTTCCTTCATATCCCCTCTTCATGCTGTATCTTTCCAGAAATTGTCTAAGGAAACTGAAAATGTATAATTATGATTGCATCAATAATCTTAAATTTCAATTTACCTTTACATTCATATTTGAGGTCAGAGAAGTACACCATTTCTTGTGAAAAGACAAAAAGACCTAATCGTCCACCAGCGTAAGTTGTATCATAGATTGGTCCAGAATCTGCCATGATCTGTTTTCCTTCAAAGACTACAACCCTGTAAGGGGGAAAATAATCATGGTCTAAGTGAGATGCATTCTTTGAGATGGCAATTTGTCCTTTTATACAGTGTGTGTACAGCTTCTGCAAAATTATCAATTTAAGAAAATACAAATTACACATTAATAAAAAGTATGAACGCTTAAACAACATTCAAGGACAATGTCTGGACTGAAACTTTTTAAAACTGTGCCATGAATGATTGGAAGATCAGTATCCATCTTTGTGTAAAGGTGGGTCAGGACAGAATAAACCAGAATAGTAATCCAATAGATAATACACATTTTAATAGATTATTTTTTCCTTTGAGTGGGAACAAGATTTGCAAAATTTGGGAGTTAAAAAACACACAGCCCAGGAGGCATGGAGATACATTAATTTACACAGAAGATAAATTCATGTCATGATTTGCAAAAAAATGAATTGTTTACATATCTGAAGGCCAAAGGAATTCCCACATATCTTAAACAAATACATGGCACAATAATTCACGTGGCATAAATGTGTGAGAAGTTGAACAGGTAGTGTCGGACATGGGCAAACAGAAGGGGAAATGCAGTAACATTTCCCAAAGGCTATTGTTATTGTTGTTGTTATTGTTGTTATTGTTGTTGTTATTGTTGTTATTGTTGTTGTTATTGTTGTTGTTGTTGTTGTTATTGTTGTTATTGTTGTTCTGCATTCGTGGGAATATATGTGACATAAATAGAACTTTTTTACATTTATATTTTATTAAAATATTTTTTCTGAATAAATGTTCTTCAGAGGACCTGATTATTTAGAAAAGCTATTTAAGGTTGCCTTAGTTATATTCATTTTAATTTTAAGAAAAGAGGAGTAATCTTTTCTTTGACTCCCTTTTTTACTTTTATCATTTTTCTTTTCTTCTCACCTTTTACCCAGAACCAGATTATTTCATAGTAAAATTATAACTTTCTAAGAGTTGGAGGAAAATTATTTCTTTTAAATAATGTGATAATGTTTTGCCTTTGTTTATATATGCCATTCAGGATAAATTGAACATATCTGATGAGATGGAAAAGTGAGAAAACAAGAATTCAAAATCCCCCAAAGGCTTCAACTATAAAAAGAAACAGGCTGCCCTAAATGAAGTGATAACTTTGGCATTTGCTTACAAAGGATTATAAAACACATTTATGTTCAGATGGAAAAGCAATGGAATGCATCAGAAGAAAATGTCATACTTTATTAATCCTGTCTTAGGTCTGTGGATCAAATGCCACCTGTAGGCAGTATAATCTTTCCAACCAATATTTTTGGGATCATGCCACAAGGTACGCACCTGTAAAAAAGATAAAACACATAGACATACATTGGGAGAAAAAAAAAGGCTTACATGTATCATGCTATTGCTAATTGACCAATATCTTATGGTATCTAAACTTTGATTAAGGAAGAATGGTGGGTTACATCAGGAATAAACAACTGCCCATGCATACATGAAATTGGCTTTTATCCACTCATTACACTCTACTTATGAGTAACACATTACAACTCATATCACTCCCCTTAAATACATGAAAGGGTTTCATGTAGAAAATCAAGTCCCTTCCTCTTTTATTCCAGAGTGCAGGATATAAAATGATTCATATAAATGATGGGAAACAGATTCCAATTGAATGTTAGAAAATAAAAAACTTTCACAGTAAGATAGTTTGTTGGTAGTTTCTTGGTAGAGCTAGTCCCGCAGGAAGGTGATGGATTTCCCTATACAATATATATTTAAGTGGGATAGACAACCATTAGCTGGGGATGCTTTAATTTGAATTCCTGACCTCAGTTGGAAGTTGCACTTGATGGCCTCAATGATGCTTTCTGATTTTGTAATTCTATAGACCTATTCTATATATCAAAAGAGTTTTTCACCCTTCTGATACTATGACTTAGGCAGATGTTGCTATGGTAGAGAAAGGATGAGACGAGGAACTGATAGGAGGAGATTAGCATAGCAGGTATATTCCAAAGTACTTAGTTCTATGTAGAGCAGCTGGCTGTGATTCACTGATACAAAGGGAGTAACTAGCTGTATGTAGAGATTGTGTACTGAGTAACTGACTGTAATTGGGATAAAACTAAACTTGGGCCTAGTTTGGGTCTAGCAAACCAAATATAACTTGGTTAGGCTATGCATATATTCAATACTGATTTATCAGAACTTTAAGTTAAGCATCCCTCAAAAAGTGAAATGGAGAAGTAATACTCCATTGCTGTTCAGCAGAGCAGCCATATTATTTGGACTGATAGCAAGGATTCTATACATGCTATTAGCAAAACAGCTGCTCAAAGCAAATAAAGTTCATCTTGATGCTTTTTTAAAGAGAAACAACTCCCCTCCCTAAGATGCCACCAGTCTGCCCAGATTTAACCTCCGGAGCCCTTAATAATAAAACCTGAGCAATAAATTACCATTGGTCTGACCCCTATTCAAAGTATTTTCAGCACTTTCCTGCTTAAACCTTTCATGAAGAATTAGTCTTGACATGCAAGCTACCATGACTTTTCAACATGAGTTTTAAATCCTGAGGCACTTATAATTAAAATAAACATGAGGCAAGTTAAAATGATCATAAATAAGGTTAAAGTATGGTCAACAAAAGCTGCTGTAGAAAGGAAAGAAAAGTTCAATACATACCAGAATCTGTAACTCATTCCTAACATTTGTTCACTAATCACATGATTTGAATATGGGAGGGTTCTTCTGCGATTAAATGGGGGCAGGGGAAGTACAAGATTCCATAATTCCATGGTAACTTTGGGCTGACAATATATTGGTGAGGGGGGTTTTCAGCTAGTTACCTGTCCAAGTGTATTTCCTGTGTGCCAAAGAGCATTTCTTAAATGTTCACCAGTACCAGTTGTGGAATTTACCACCTTAAGGGACACCCCTGAGTATCCATAAGCTCTGGTTGGCTTATCTTCCCAGTATGTCTGAGTCACTTGCTTCCACATCAGGACATAGAAGCGACTACTGGACTGGTAACCAAAAACAAATCCAGCATAATCATCATCTCGGTCTGTGTTGACATAGAATGTGCCACTGAAGTCAACCGAACTGAATTCATCATAGCCTGAAGCAAGATGGAAAAGAAATTCTGAGTCCTCACAGGTATTATTTTAATTTCCCACATCTATTGTCAATATTATTTGATTTGATATATTCATTTGTTTTAGAATCAAGTCAATATTATTAATTTATCAAATTAATTTAGCCATCCATTCATCTATTGAAGATGATTCTGAGTGTTGCACAATAGATTAAAAAATATAAAAACATTGAACACAAATATAAGAAGCCATAGTAATGGATATTTAAAACCCCCAAATAAAAATGACTGCCTCAATAATGGAGTCACCTAGCCATGTTTTTGGCTCCCTGGGAGTACAATCACTCTACAAACTTATATATTTCTATAGGAATTATTGTAGTAATTATGAATCTCAGATAAATAGCTACATGATATTAGCCTTAAATTCGCTACCATTCTAGTCTTGCTTGAATAAATGAGATATAATCTAGGATGGAGTAATTTTTATCTCTTTTATGGTGAACACAGAATATCAATGCATGGTCTCATGACTTTTAGAAGAAAAGTAATCTGTATTAGGTAACTTTAAATTTTCTATCTTTGATTATTAACAAATTATTTTTTAAGAGCTTGGGGAAAGTGTTCTACAACCAGAAATACTAAGTTTCAAACACATCATTAAACTGAATGTAAAATTTTCTTTCCTGGTTCAAAGAGTTTGCAATGTATGTTTGCTCTATGTAATAATAAATAGCATTACTTCAGAGCAGGGGTAGGATTCAATTTTTTAACAACCGGTTGTGTGGGCATGGCTTAATTGGTGGGCGTGGCTTGGTGGTCATGTGACTGGATGGACGTGGCTTGGTGGTCATGTTATTGGCTGGGCTGGTCAACTCAATATCATTCACATCGAGGCACGCATCTCCTCTCCTGGCCTCTCATGACTGTGGGGATACTGCAACAGTCGTAAGTGTGAAAAGCAGCCATAAGTCACTTTTTTCAGTGGCTTTGAATGGTCACTCCACACAAGCAAAGTACCAGCAAAGGAGGGGAAAAAAACTCCAGAGACATTCCTGAGACAGGAAGTCTAGTCCTGCCAAGAATGCAATAAGGGTTAACAGAGAGGTAGTTTCTTTAAGCAACACCAGAATGTTTCCTTCCTGCCTTCCTTACATGATTAGGCCAGTAATTTCTTCTAACAACCAGTTCTCCGAACTGCTTAGAATGTTAACAACCGGTTCTTGCGAATAGGTGCGAACTGGTAGAATCCCACCCCTGCTTCAGAGAAATATGTAATGAATTATCTTGGCCTATTGGAATTCTGAATTTTGATTGTGTAATCGATAGTTTCCAATTCTGATGAAATAATCCAGGTGAATCTCAAAAGCACTTCTTGATATAGCAATGGGAGCTGGTATGGAAAAGAAACAAAATCTAAAAATACCACAGGGTACTTGGAGATTCTTCTGAATAAATAACAGCTATGGTCAACTGTTATTATTCTGAATACATTCTGAATACAGTTCACTCAGAAGGGCTTCTAATACTCACCAACAGCTATGCCAGGATCTGAATTAGCAGTCTGAACCAATTCCTTGCCCTGGTGGCGAATTACCCAATTTGGGTCAATTTGAGCTGTTCCTTTAGGATCCAGGGGTACCATTTGAAATTTTCTGAAATCTGTTTCACTAATGGCATCATTTTCAGGGCAAGCATCAAAAATATCTGGGACACTATCATTGTCAAAATCATCTTTGCAGATGTCACCTCGGCCATCACCTGAATCATATAAATGTTTAAAAGCACACATAATAACAACTTTTTTTCTGTATGTGAAGTTGTGGACATTTATATTATACATTAAATGCTGATTAGTACCAAATAATACAGTGCAACAAATTCAGCAGCTTTACTACTCTGAAAAAAATTAAAAAAAATTACTAGTGAATGTTTATCCCTGAACTGCTATATCAGAATCATCTTCACACAGTGATAAGTGAAAGATTAGAATGTGGTGGCTCACATGTTTAGGACACTGATTTAGAGGTTAGCAAACCCATGTTTGAGACCCGAGTTCCTATGTGGTGGGGTGAGTTTCTGTCACTCGCTCCAGCTTCTTGATGGAGACATGAAGGAGCCTCTATGGGTGTCCCCTGGGCAACAGTGATGTTACCTTTCAACCTGGAAATGCCTTAAATGGTGCCTCTCACAAGATGGGGAGTGAAAGATGCTATAATATCTTAGGATTCAATTAAAATCCATATTCAGAAAATCATAGAATTTGAACAGATGTTGCAAATAATCTAGTGTATAATACATTATGCAGGATTAACAATATAGAGGTATTTCAAACTTAACATGTGGCTGTTCATAAGTTACTTAAATACTTTTATTGAACGAAGGAGTACAGTTAATGAGCACTAGAAAACAATTACCAACAGGCAGCACACATTACGTGTTTCTTGGTTTAAACTTGCGCTAGAGCTTTTCCTTTCTAATAGCTACTCTTGTATCTTATGCACAGAGATGCACAATTCCTTTCTATATTGTGAAGCATCCTCTTCTTACACAAAGTAGAATCACAAAGCCTTCTTTTTGCACTCGTATAACCATCTATAGAATGAATCTAATGAGCAAGCCCTTTTTTAGAACCAAACCATTATTCCTAACATGATAATTAAATTCTGGCTCTTTATAAAAAAAATTTTTTTGCTACATGCAAAAAATTACTATAAATTACTATAAATACTAAATTACATATAGTGATTACTATATGCTATATACCTATTAATACATGTTAATGATTAATTGCTAAATTTACACTTCAGGTGTTCTTGCACATTTATGAATTGTAAAGAAGGGGGAAATCATTGGTAGATTTCTCTTCCCAAAGTACCATGTATTATAGGTTCACTGGTCTAATGGAAACTGTAAGTAAGATTATCATGAAGCTGAAAATCTGAGAAAATTGTAATACCACAAATACATATGAACTAGAACAGAGGTCTTCTAACTTGGCAACTTTAAGACTTGTGCTGGCTGGAGAATTCTGTGAGTTTAAGTTGCCAAGTTTGGGGACTTGGGACTATGAGCTGTTTGGGTGTGGGTGGGTGTGAATCCTTTATACCCTAAGAAATCCTGAATGTGATATTTAAAAAGTGCTTTGGGATTTTATTTTTTTATCTCTGTGTCATCAAATGTGTTCAGCAATGTTTTTCTATGAGTACTTAAGACTGGCCATGCATTTTTGTCCCATCTGTATTAAATGAGTGAAGAAGACAATAAAGTAAATCACATAAAATAGATTTGGCCATTCTTTCTTTCTTTATGTGGGAAAATTGTTTATTTCATAAAAATAGTAGTGATAAGCTAAAAGTAAAATAGACATTCCTTGAAGCTTTGGAATGTGACTGTATTGAAATTTTGGTTGATTAATGGGGCATTCAAGGCTAAACCACTCAAGAGAATAGAGTCTACCACCCCCAAATCACTTATACACAAAGTTTGACTAATGGCATTATGGTAAATAGTTGAAAAGCTCAGTCACATAATGGAATACATATAATGGTTTGAGATAGTTTTTGAGGTTAAAAACAAGAGACATTAAAATAAATGCCAAATTCTTAAACAAAAATGTCAACACTGACATTTCTGAGTTCCTGGACTAAATAACAACTTATAAAATGTTCATCCATTCCATAAATCTATTATTATGAATGTATACCTATAGGTAGTCTAACATTTCTTTCCAAAGCTGTGCTAACCATGTTAGATTTATATAAAGATTCCTTAACTCTCTGACTTCTGATGTTTCATCAAGTACTTCCAATACATTATATTTGTTCTCTCTCTCCTTCCCCCCTCTCTCTCCTTCCCCCCTCTCTCTTCTCCCTCCCACACTCTCTCAGCTAATTATCACACATTTTTAGGAATATACATAAATATTTATCAGCAGGAACTTGGCATGGAATATCAAAAAAAGTTTTTTAAAAATACAGATAGTAAGAATCAAGTTTTTCATAGTTTGCTCTTCATGAGAAAATGGCCCCACATTCACTGACTGGATGCTGTCCAAGTTGAATTCCAAATACTGATCAGTAATTGTGTTTATCTTAACACTTAAGGGGGTAAGTGTAGGTCTCCAGTTTTATTCTCTCTGGTAACTTCAAAGAAATGACTTCTTTGTCCAAGTGAGGTTTTAATTATTTGGTTTATATGTTGCCTAATTATTATTTTTTTTTTGCAACACTGATTGCTGCTGACAAGACTACTAACCCTTCAGTAATTTAGAAATGCATCTCACCCTGTTTTTCAACTAGGTCTGCTAGTTGAAAAACGGTTCCTCAGGTGACAGAAAAAAACATAGCATTCAGTTTAATTTCTTGGTAGAATTCTAACAATAGGAGCCTTGAAAATCAAATATGAATGATACAGCTTACTCTCAGGAGATCCTTGTTCATAGAACAGTTAACCACCTACCAATTTGAATAATAGATTAATACCTGGATTTCTGGGTACTGTAGTGAATGCTGTGTAGTGATTAGGATAGGGGTCTCCAAACTTGGCAACTTGAAGATTTGTGTGCACATCAACTCCAAGAATGGAGCTGAAGTCCACAAATTTTAAAGAGGCCAGGTTGGAGATCCTTGAATTAGGATACCAGATCTGTATTAAGAAGTACAATTTTTACACTCAACTTCAGTAGCTGGCAAATTTGAGCTGCCAGGCTAAAAATAAATATAAAAAATGTAATGAATGAAAAAATGTATTGAAAATGTATCAGAATTATCCTTCCAAAGTGAAGTATGACTCCTAGTCTCTTTTCTTTAGTGCAAACTTTGTCTCAAGATTCTGTTCCTTTCAGGTGGCAAATTCTGATTTCCCCCCTTTTTCCCCCTCAGGATAAGCAACGAATAAGATTCCTTAATAGAATACAACCCCAATAGAATACAATTATAATCAAGCAATAATAAATCAATAACTGCCACATTATTTTTATTGCCACTCAGTAAATGTGGTATTGTTAGTCTTTTAAGCTTCATGACATCTTTGGAAGGATACCCCACATGAATTCTCCAAGCAGGTCATCGGCAAAAATACTAAATAGTTTCATTTCAAATATAACAAGATCAACATTTGGTTGGCATTCTGAAACACAGAGTTTCCCTTCTTGGCTAAGGGAATCTGGGAATTATAGCACAACCTGTTTGGAAATCACTACAGTAAAGAAAGCCAGTGTCTCGTATTATTCAGGTACCCAAAACAGAGACTCTATGTGAAAATACTAGAACTGACTGTAGCTGCACATTGATTTGTGGATTGTTTTTAAACAAATTCTGTTGTAGGAAAATATAATCTTACCATCAGAATCTTCTTGGTCAGGGTTGAATGTAAGTCGACAATTGTCTCTGTCATCTGGGACACCATCATTATCATCGTCATGATCACAGGCATCCCCTTTGCCATCTTTGTCATGATCAGCCTGGTTAGCATTGGAAATGTAAGGGCAGTTGTCTTTGTTATTCTGATGACCATCGTCATCTATGTCTTCATTGTTATCACATTGGTCACCAACCAGATCATTGTCCACATCAGTCTAAGGAGGAAAATGGGTAAGAAGTTTGAAAGTGTTTGCAATAAAAATAAAGACAAAACAAAATCCATGAAATCACAGGGCTAGTAACTTCCTTACAAATATATATTTATGGCAAGGAAGACAGACAGACATATCATTTATACATTCTAATTCAGAATGTGTAAGATACCACCAGATCACGAGGCAGAGTATAACAATCTGAAATAGCTTTTCATTTACCTAGTGTGGGATGGATTGTTATGAATCTCCCTCATTCAAATTCTTGACCTCTGCAGAATTTGCAGAACCATGAGGAAATAACATGGATATGTATATAATCATTTTTTTTCTAAGCAGTTTACAGGATCAGCACATTGCGATCCTCATTTTACTGACCCTGGAAGAATGGAAGGCTGAGTCAACCTTGAGGCAGTCAGGATTGAACTGCTGGCAGTGAGAATGCAGAGTTTAGCCTGCAATACTGCATTCTACCCACTGCACCATCATGGCTCCTTGACACCAACTAAGTCATTCTCAGTAATTGCCACTCTGTCCTAAGTTTGCTAGCAATTAACGTTTCTTACATCTGATACAATGGGTAATCATTTGTCATTGCCCCAAAGTATCTACTAAGAGCATTAGGAGGTGAAAAAGTATGTCAGTGAAATTGGGAAAGACTTTGATCTCAACCATTCTGGATTTGGGCTTTGTTCCCTTTGCAAGATCTTACAAATGAGAGAAACTGTGCTGCATGCATGCTCCTGTGAAAAATTGCCTGGGCAATGTTTTTAAGATGTGAAAGGATGTTGCTTTGAATAATGTTCCCTTGAAAGAAATAATACAGGAAGCCTCAGGCAATAACTTTATACACTTAGAAATTCCAGATCATACGCTGAAATCAAAGGTAAATATTTTCAGCTGAATCTTTGAAAACTTGAAAGGTGTTCTTTAATAATATTTAGCTCATTTCCAAGATACAGATTGTTGATTATATTTGCTTTTAATATAGACATGTGGCCTGTTATTGAAAAGAATAATTTTCATTTTATATAAAGTGAGCAATTTTCCTTTCCAAATAAAATCATGAATAAGTAGAACAAAGCACCAATGAGACAAGGTGATAAAACCATTGTGGTTTGGCACCCGTGTTACTAATTTTAAAACTTCTGGTGAGTTTTTTTTTAAAAAGCACATACTCACACATGGAGAAACTCTCCAGCTCACTCCAACACACAATCCATTTCACTACTACACATATAAACGTAATGGGCTCCTCAGTCTTCCTCGTATCAACCCAGGTTTGTTAAGACGTTGCTCAAAGGAACATTGTACAGCAAAATGCTTGAGCAAATTGCCTGAACATTATTTTATTTGCCACCTTTTTATTTGCCACAGACATTTCATGTCCCTTGCAAGCAAGCTTCTCTTCTGCCTCTAAAAGGAACAGCTGCCATCATGCAAATTAGACAGTATCATGAGCTATGCCTTGACAATTTCTGTAGTGAGTTAAAAACAGCAGATTGAAGGATAAACTTTGTGGGTACATAAACAGAGGAGGATCAGTTTAATGCTTAGGAAGGATACCTGAATGCTCCATATGTTACTTTGGAATTCACTATATAAGCATGCATGTATATATGTGTGTGGGTTGTGTGTGCATGTATATATGTAGTATATATACATATGTCTGTGTATGCCTGTGTATACACTCATAGATGATGGATGGGTGGATAGATAGATAGATAGATAGATAGATAGATAGATAGATAGATAGAT